ATGAGAGGGTGGTCGACGAACAGTAATCGATTGATTATGAGAGGGTGGTCGACGAATAGTAATCGATTGATAATGAGAGGGTGGCTAGAGTGACAGAGGTCGGTTGGTTAAGGAGGGTTCTTGAATTAGGCGTAGTCAATTACATAATGTTTTTCTACTTTTTTGTTACAGAAGGAGAGTTTTCCAGGCAAGCTGGAAATGGTACGGGTGGATCTAGCGGGAATCCCGAGCTTAGCGAGAAGATTTTGTATAAAATGTTGCTGGCCAACATGACAAAATTAGTAAGTACTCATGAAYATTGAATTTTTGTTAGCTTTTGAGTCAGTTTCAGTCAAAAATTATTTCACTGTTATGGATCCCTTGTAGTTCATGGAAATGGGCTCCAACTGGAGGACAAAAAAGTGGATTTTAATTCCCAAGAGAAAGTCTTTTGTTTTGTCCTCCAGGTGAATCTGCTTCGATGTCAAATGCAAGGCGTTTATATTTTTTATCAAATAATCGTAGCTAAAGTATTCTCCTGTGCTAGCCTCGGGACTCGCCCCTCGCGCTCTGCTCTTGACCCTCATATGATATACTGGGCTACGTCTACATTGCTGCATTGTAGCCTGGGTAATAATAATGAGTRAGAGAGCAGGGTGGGGTGGGTGGTGGTAAATAGTACTATCCACATATCATGCTATATAAAGCGCAAAGCTTTCAGGGTAATATTGGGACTTTATGTTTTTAAATATCAAAATGACGCTAGAGCGTGCAAAACATAAATCCTAAAATTCCATGCCTGATGGAAACAATGTTTTTTATCTATTCAGGAAGACCAATTACGTGACTTAAACAAATTTAAAGACAATGTAAGTAGAATAGTCATGTTGATATTTTTGGCTTTGCCATATTTTGCATGTCTTGTTTTAATCTGTATTATATTTTTGTTTGGAAAGAATGACGAACATTGCCAGAAGTTGGYAAAGAAGAATGAAATATTAGAAAATAGAATTAATGAGCTGGAAAATACGACGTCTCAAGTAAGTCGAAAAATATCATTCAGGACCGCAAGCAAAGCGTTCATTAGAGGGAGGGCTTCAAGAATTTGAAGAAGGCGATTGACAGCAAAACTTTGGACTCACACCCAGAAAATGAAGCTACATTTTATAATCCGCATTTTTTTATTTAATTTAAAACATTTACGATTTTTACGATTTTTTTATTTTAATTTTAATTTTTCAACGTTAATTATAATTTTAAAAGACGAATGGTATTCACTAAATCGAACTGGTATCGGGGATGGAATAGAAATATTATTCAACTTAAGATATTCCGTATTCAGCTGTTCTCCAGGGGTGAATATTCCCATTCCTTGATAATATTTCGGAGGATATTCCTTATGTTTTTAGTATCGATTGATTTGAGTAGTCTGTGTTTTAATTTCGTTTWATTCACAAATTTGTTAAGGTGGCTGAGTATTTCCTATTCTCGCTTTTGTTGTGTGTGTTTTATTGAAATATTCCGTATTCCGTACAGGGAATATTTTTAAATTAAAAAGCGACAACAACAACAACAACAACAACAACAACAACAACAACAAAACGACAAAGAAGAAAACAAAAACAAAACAAAAAACAAAACAAAAAAAAACGACCAATAAAAATCCGACAATGTTGAATATTAAAATATTCCTAAGCTTTTGAAGAGTACGATATTCAATATTCAATATTCCCCTTGTACCCCCGAAACTGGTAACAGCATTAACAGTAGAGACTTTACACTACCAGGGCACTGGGTACGAAGCACGAAAACGAGGTCTCAAAGACCAGCCTCCGTATAGTAAACTTCGATTGTGTYTTGRAAGAGTGTTTTGTYATAAATAACATAACAATACATCTTTCAAACTTTTTGACACTACATACATCCGATCTTCGTAGTGATTTCTAGATGGAATACCTTTGAGGTCTCGTTTTCATGATTCGTCACAAGTCCCCCGATATTGGCGGTCGTGAACTGGCGCCATTTTTGAAAGTTTCATAAAKTTTTATTATTCACTGTGGTTATTTCTTTTCTGTTCATTCTTAAGGTCGATGTCAGAATGCAAATTCTGGAGACAAGGTTGAACCAATCAACTAATGAAACAAACGACATATCAAATGATGTAAGTTTGTACTTCAGAACAAAACAAAATACAATCATTTTATGACAAATGTGGAAAGATTTTTGGATTGTGAAATGTTCTGGGCCGATTATTATCAGCCAAGATGAATTATGAGTATCAATATTTATAAAAGTGATTACAGTCTACAAGATTTTTTTTTGAGAGGGGGGAGGGGAGGGGGCATGTGTAGTTTATTCGATCAGTTTGCTTTACTTCAAAAGACTTTGGCAGAAAATTTCGAATTTCAACTGAATTGTCGTTGYACTTTTTAACGCAAAATTGGAAGCAAAAGATATATAATTACTTTAAATGATAACAACCAGTTTGCTTACTTCAAAAGACTTTCGCAGAAAATTTAGAATTTGTCGATTTTGTTATATCTATATATTTTTAACGCAAAAGGAAAAAAAAGAGTTTTATTTCCTATAAATGATGAAAATAAACCACATTGTATCAGAATTATTTTATTTCATATTATGAGGAAAGAGTGAAGCGGAGGAGGCGTTTCCTAGACATCCTCCGGGGATCTCTAATCCCACTGCGTCCAAGTTGTCTAAGGCAACGCTGCAATGCGTGATCTTCAGTAACGCTATGTTATGAATTTTTAAGGTTGATACAAAAATGAACGCTATTAAGACGAAGTTGAGCAACTCAACTGAAACTTTGAAAACGACTGCCTCAAACCTAAAGCAGGACATGCAAACGAAGGTACAAGTGATACTAGTAATATATTGTTCCAACCTAAAGTCAATCTCATTTACGCTGTTCATTTGTAAAGACAACGACAACAACAAAAGTCATTTTGCACAAACGTTTTTTGCAACTTCATGTTGAACGTTATTGCAAAGGAATCTTAAAGGGCTATACTTGGACGAAAATTGCGAAACATTATAAAAGACTTGGAAACCAAATAGACCTATCCATATGGGTCTAATAATCATGAAGCAACAGATTTCAAGAATATATTGATACAAATCCTTAAGATTTAGGCACAAAATGTTGGAGTAGATAACGTCATTTACTCTATCCTTTTGTTCTTCCATCTTTTGGATCAAAATTTATCTGATGTGGGATAATTCCAAGACAAATATTTTCCCGCAATTGTTTTTAATAGATATAAATGAGTCATATATTTATATTGCTTGAACTTGTTCACATAAGGCCATTTTCATGCAAGTAGCACTTTAAAATTGGAGTCTTTTGTTGTCTTTACGTCTTTACAAATGAAAAGCGTTTGATTGACTGATATTGAAGTTTTAACGGTTCAAATATACGTACAAATCACGGCCAACTTTGAGCCAGCCAGACAATCAGCTCACCACCCAGTATTAGTATTTTTCATCAGATGTAGCCCCTCTTAAAACTTTTCTTGACAGAACCACTTTATATTCCAGATTAACGATGTAAAAAAATTCTTTTGGACGACACTGAACAGTTCAGTCGACAAAGTAAAGAAAGAATTTGGTGATTATTATAAACAAATGAATTATACGGTAAGGATGTTCTGCTAATTATAAAGATCTTTTATATAGTTATTTTAAAAAAGGTTGTCAGATAAAATGGCGAATGTCAATGATCGAACGGTGATTGCACGACCGAAAGTAGCCATGGGTTTTGCTAGTTGAAAGAAAATAACAACTGATTTGTACTAGAAGATGGTCTGTGGTAAACATTTGCTCCGTTTAGTCTCCATTTCTATGTAAAGTGAATAAGTGAAATTTTGTTTATCAACACAGTGTAAACATCGTCCCTTTCGGTCGTGCAATCTCCCTTCAACAATCGCCGTTCACCATTCTCACCGACAACGTTTTTTGAAATAGCATCAAAACGATGGAACGATCAAAGATGCGAATAATCAAAACCGTGCGAATAATCAAAACCGTGCGAATAATCAAAACCCGGTGCGAATAATCAAACCCGTGCGAATGATCAAAACCGTGTGAAGACTGCATATGAAACCTAAGTGACACTAACTCTAAAAGGAAACGCGCAACACATTAAAAGGTTCATGACTAAGTTGTGTCATGTAACACGCCATTGGTGAATCAGAGCGTCCGCAAGAATGATTCTTTATGTTATTATAGGCTTACCAAATATGGTAGGCTATTTTCTGCGTAGCCAGGCCTTCCTAGCCACTACGAAGAAGACTAGGGCAGAGCTGCTAGGAAAACCTGTTTTTTTTTAGATTATTTAATACTATGCATGGAAGGTTTTCAAAAGTTGAATTTTTGTCGTTTTAAGATGGGAAAAGCCATTAAAGTCGTTATGATGAATCTCAACGACACAGAACGAGAACTTGACGCAACAAACTCCACACTGCACTACGAAATGCAAACACTACGATCAGATGTTTTGAACAAGGTAAGAATACTTCATCATCAAGGGAAAAGACCGAACAACTTTTGTGATAAAATTAAAAATTATAAAAATTAGGATGTTGATGGCCTACTTCACGGGCCAAAAAAAAAAAAAAAGCCAAAAAGCGCGAAGAAAACGCATTATTGTAGAGTATTCTTTTCGGCTTTTAATTGTCTTTGATCCAGTTGAGGAAGGCGATCAAGATAAAACCGGTGCAAAAATCTTTACCCAGMAGTTTTATTTCTTATATATCGCTTTCAGACTTTTCACTTCCATGCAATGTGGTGTCCTAAATCACATGAAAAATAGGCAATGTGCATCGACGTTATTTTGTGCAGCAAAGGA